GGACACGGTTTTGGAACATTGTCCATTCACTGGATCATAATAATATGTCATTTGCACTGCCTGGTGGTGTTACAACGAAATGCTCAGAAATTCATCCAGCGAGCGCATCTCATAAATCTCCTTATCCTATGATGATACACATAGTACGTTGGAGCCCTATAGAGAGTACGGCAGTTATTCTCGGTACTTTCAGGCCACCATCAGCTTTCTCTACTGCTCTGTACTCCTGTATGCAGAGTGTAACCATTTGAGATTGTTTTAAGGTTCCCCATCAATATTTTGGTCCCAAGAACGAATTGGGAATATTGATATTGCTTTCACAATGTTAGTAAAAGCTCTGGATCCAAAAGAATGCTCATTCTTGTCCTTGTCATTTTCTTGGACTGAACCTTCACAACCATTGTAACTTCCTTATCTTTGCCGCATTTTTTTGTAATCTCAGAATGTTACCTTTTATAATCACATAAGTTACAAACTTTACTGTACACGAGGGTCAAGAGACCAAGAGCCACATTCAAAATAAACTCCGCAATAACAATACTTTGATCACAGCACCAAAATGTTTTGTTTTTGTTATAATTAGTCTGTGATATCCAGGTTCATTGGTGTTTGACAAGAATAAAACCAACAGGTTCAAGATTGTTAAGCGAAGAACAAATTTAACATGAATAGCAAATACAAATTAACACCAATGAACAAGCAAACAAAGCTTTATTCACATAACTATTTGTAATATTAACAAATTACTCGTTAGTTTCCAATACTGTGTGACATGTTGCCGGATATTGAGGTCAAGAAGAACTAGAGTCAAAATCGAAAGAAAAGACAACTATGAAAGCACTCAACTTGTATACGCGAGCCAAAGTCTTAGTAAGGTATCCCACAAGTTCACAGGTTACATACTTCAAACAACGGTTTACATATAGTTTTAAGTCAAACCACTTGTACATGTTTCTGTATGCCTGTTTGAATAAAATACTTTCTCAGAAGTCCATACAGAGACGAGAACAAGCCAGATTGATAGTTATCAACAAAGGTTACAATAAGTAACCATTACATGTAAAAAAGAATTGGCATATTTATTGCAATAAAAGATTTAGTCAACATGGGTATGATTAACTACATGGAGGAAGGATATGTGGATTTAAAAACATTTACCTGAAAATACTAAGATAAAGATATAATCTACACTAGTCATGGAGTCGAGTATTAGATGACAATCTCAGGAATTGCACTCACTTTTCATGTGAGGACTGGCTAGTTCAAAGAAGATAGAAGAGATTTAATTACTGATATTGTCAGTAATATTCTGACCGTATACTGTTCTATTGATTCCACAATTTTTGTTTTTCTAACTACACCATACAGTACTGTGTTTTCCAACAGTCGCATTCCCTCTGAATGTCGGTGAAGACTTTCCATAATTGCCGTTCTCACCTTATTAGAAGTTGTAGAAGATTAAAAAAGTTTTTTTTTTCTTGAGAGCTTCCTCGTCTATCTCTACCTCCAGATTGTCTAGCACATATATCTAGGTGATGGTCTTACCTTGTATACTTGTAGATGCTTCGTTTTCTGGCATTCATCTGGGGACCAGCTTCTATGGATTTTACACAGTACTGCCTGCAAGTCAATCGCAAATATTAAGTAGGTGACACCTGTCTACTTGAGGTTCATTGTATTAGTCATGGAAGAGTGAAATAGTTGATTCAGCTATAACAATAACTTAAACAATTAAGATTTGATACGATTGATAGAAAGGTTAGAAACTGTGTAGACATTTGGAGAAATTTACCTGAATATATTCTATATTACTCTTGGAAACGTGAAATTAATAGCTGATCCAGCTAGTAATTCAAAACATTTAAAAATCTGGGCGTTTGATAAAAAAAAAAGGTTTCAGTTGATAAAGTTAGTGACACATTAAACAGAAAAATGGTAAAAAGCTCTTTCTTACTCGAAAACGGTTTGATAGTATTTATTACATCGACACCTGTAAGAGTTGGGTTTGTTTTGAATTGTGAGCAAAGCTGCACGAGGGTTATCTGTGCTGTCCGTCCCTAATTTGGCAGTGATAGGCTAGAGGGAAGGCAGCTAGTCATCACCAGCCACTACCAACTCTATAGCATCGAATAGTGAGATTGACCGTCATATTAAAACGAACCCATGGCTGAAAGAGCGAGCATGTTCGGAGTGACGGGGATTCGAATCTGCGACCCGCAAATTGCGAATCGAGCATCCTAACCACCAGGAATCCTGTAAGAGAGCAATTCCTTAACTTTAAGTTGGTTTGACATTATTTACTAAATCGATACCTGTAAGAGAAGACTTTATTAACTTGAAGTTCGTTTGACATTATTTAATCACTCGACACCTGCAAGAAAATACATCATTAATTTCAAGTTGGTTTGATATTATTTACTACATCGACACCTGCAAGAGAACACTTCATTAACTTGAAGTGGGTTTGACATTATTTACTACATCGATACCTGCAAGAGAAGACTTCATTAACTTCAAGTTGGTTTGACATAATTTACCAAATCGACACCCGCAAGAGAAGACTTCGTTAACTTCAAGTTGGTTTGACATTCTTTAATAAATTGACACCTGCAAGAGAAGACTTCATTAACTTCAAGTTGATTCGACATTATTTAATAAATTGACACCTGCAAGAGACGACTTCATTAACTTCAAGTTGGTTTGGCAATATTTACTACATCGACACCTGCAAGAAAAGACTTCATTAAGTTAAAGTTGGTTTGACATTATTTACCAAATCGACAACCGCAAGAGAAAACTTCATTAACTTGAAGTTGATTTGACATTCTTTAATAAATTGACACCTGTAAGAGAAGACTTCATTAACTTCCAGTTTGTTTGGCAATGTTTACTACATCGACACTTGCAAGAAAATACATCATTAACTTCAAGTTGGTTTGACAATATTTACTACATCGACACCTGCAAGAGAGCACTTCATTAACTTGAAGTTGGTGTGACATAATTTACCAAATCGACACCCGCAAGAGAAGACTTCATTAACTTGAAGTTGGTTTGACATTATTTAATAAATTGACACCTGCAAGAGACGACTTCATTAACTTCAAGTTGGTTTGACAATATTTATTACATCTGTACATGTACTCATGTGTAAAAGAGAACTTTCTCCCCTCGAAGTTGATTTGACAGCGTTTATTACACCCATTCATATGAAAATAGCACGTTTATCAACCCGTATTTGTTACACCTACTCCTGTGTATTACTAAACAAGATGCATGACGTGTCTAAAACTTGGCAACATGCAATAGTATCTTTAAACAACACGTGGGCTTTTAACGAATGAGTATATTGTATAATTATTCATAAAACACTACTTCCTTACAACTTGAGATTTGATAGGCTTGCATCACAAAACATTCATGTACAACTCCACAAAGAGGAGGTTACAATTTGGAAGTTTAAACCGATTTACCATGCTTCTCAAAAGAAATATATATATATATATAACCCAAGAATTTAGTTTTATACGATCCACCAGTGGATTTTAGTATTCGTAAATATAGTTTTCATGCAGGAAAAAGATAGCACTTACCAAATTTAAACAACATTCTGGTACCACCTATTAAAGAAAGGAACTCTAACATACGGTATATTATCATTATGTTTGTTTGTTCGTTCGTTTTAGAGCAAAGCCACATTAAGCTGTTTGCAGTGTCCAGTGTGAGAATCAAATCACGGATTTTAGCGTTCTTTGTAGACTTATTGCTGTCCCACCGTGAGACATCATCATTATGAGGACTAACTCCACTTCATACTATATTCACTGGTTAATTATAACTTTACCCTAAATATGTATGTGTGTACATACATACAGCGAATGATACCCATTATTTTATCAGCAATACAGCACAATAACAGCTCTTGGAAAATATACTCAACTATCTCCTTTCGTAAACAGAGCAAGGAAACATTGGTAAACAGAAACATCGTTATCACAGATTTCACCAACTTACGTATTCATCTGTTTACAGACTGTACGGCAAAAATAAATAAATGGTTTAAAATGATGAAAGAAAAGAAGGCTTAAAAGATCTAAACATACAGAAATTAACAATGAATGTCCTGCTCGAAGAATAACAACAAAAAAGTGTAAAAAATGTGTTTCCACTGACATTCATTTCACATTACCAGATTTTGTAAAATAACCTTAACAATAATGAGAACTATGACAAAACACTGGCAAAAAAGAATGTTCAGAAATCAGATTTTCAATGTTTCAAGTGTTCCATAACACTGCAAAAGCTCGGAGAATAAAAATATAACCATTTCTATACCAAAACACTTACAGGCTAACAAATAAATTATAATCTATTAACATAGTCGACTTAACTGTGATTATACATAAACATAGAGATACACAGAGTATACCAGTCATCAAGTTCCAGGTGAGGACCTTTGACTCTCAAACACTATTCGATACTTGTGCGAATTTCGTGTTATTTTGGAAGTTACTCATTTAGATCTTCTTTATTTCAAGTAAACAAATTAGAAGCTGTTAGAAGCTACTTTTGACACAACTTTTTGTTTCTTTTTATTGAAGGTTCCTACACGGCAGGCTTCATAATCAAAGTACAGGAAAACGTACAACACACACAATAAAATCAAATACTGGCCAAAGGAGAAATGTATGGAAAATACAAAAAGAGAATATATACACAGTAGGCCAATGTTATAATGAAACTCTTCCAAAGAACTATTTTAGAATATCTTATCGTTACCTGTTCAACTCGACAGGTACAATAGTAACTGAAATAGGTTGAATAAATTTTATGTTTTGGGAATGTGATATTTTGGGGTCAACTTAAATTAATTAAATATATAAATAAAAGGAAATGCTGTAAAAAATGTGTTCACTTCGTATATAGATAAATTATAAGATGAAATAGAGGTAGCATTCCTAGCGCCACCTATGTCCATTCGAGAAACTAGGTAGTGGGCCTGAACAAGAAATTTAAGATTTTATTTTTCATGAGAACCGGTTAGTTACAAATGAGACCATGCGAGTGCCACAATACAAAGTAACCATTTACAATTCACAAGGTTTACGATAGTGTATTTTGATTATCAAGTTGCAGCGGAATAAAATACTACCACAAAAACGTGCAATTGAATGTCAAACGTGAGACTCGTGAAAACGCACACATACTCGAGGCCTCTGTTACTAATTATGAAAACCAAGAAGTACATATTTAGATAACATGGATAGAGTAACCATGTAAAAAAAAATGTGGCATATTACTTCCGTCTAAGTTACACATACTCCCTTGTTAGGACATGTTTTAATGTATTCTAACATTATTCCTACTGTTGTATCTTCCTGTTGATATTAACGATTGGAAGACGGTTTTCAGTTCATGTTGAATGTTGTTAAATACTATCAATGTAAATTAAAACCATATTATCAATAATAAAAACTAAGGATTAATATTTCATTTTCATTATAGCGTGTACAAAACATAATCAACCACATTTCCTGTTAACTTACGACCTTGTGACTCGCTTATGAACTAATATATTTTAATAAATATTATGCATATATACCGAAAGTATATAAACTTTTTGTATTAGTCTGATGTGTCTTACCTTCTTATGGATTACACAAACATACAAAATATAGTAAACTCAGTTTACATTTTAACATCGTTATATGTACGTCCATGTATCCCAAGACTAACATCATTTGCCCAGTACTAAAGCATTTCACATCTAAACAAGTTAATGTATCATACAAACAAACAAAAACTCCATTACAGCGCGTCTTTTTTTTAAAAGCGTTCCTTCCTCATATAAAGAAAGGTTTTAACATATTTTATAAGCTTGAATGTAACAGTTATCGTCACGTTATGATTTTCTGTTCAAATACTCTGATAAACACAACTGATCTCTATAAAAAAAAAAATGAAACTATTTGAACAGTTTATATTGTATTTGTAAAAATATAAAATTGTAGATCAGTTCACTTAAGAAAACAGAAAGCTTGATGCCTCTTTCCTAAAATATACTAAAACACTTAAAAAAATCAGGTTAAAAGTTTTATGAATATTTTATGGAGCCAGCATGCTACTTAATGCACTGACATCTTTTTATAAAAATTCACAAACAAACAAACAAGTTTAAGGAAACAGAATTAAAATATAAACTTGTGTTAAACAGTATTTTCAAAAAAGGCTACTTTTCAGACCGTCTTTTAACAAATATTCGTGTGGCTAAATCATAAACACTTACTACAATCTTTAAGAAACTTTTTGCCGTTAAACGATTACTTTATTTACAAGTTTAAACGAAAAATAGTTATGTTCATCACATACATAAATGAATAGCACACAAACCTACATTTTCTTATAAGTTATGTATACTTTTACAAAAATGTTTTATTTCTGATTACTTTTACTGTTAATTACAAATCTCATTTCTCACTGGTTGATTCTGCTTCCAGTGTGGTGCAGTTTTTTTCTGTGTCTCCTTCAAAATGTTCATCAACACCAAGTTCATCATAGTGACCAAGGTCCTTTTCAGAAATATCTGTTAGCCATTCATTATCAGGTAGTGAATGAGCATCAAACAGAAAATCTGATCGATCACCCCCATCCCAATGTTTTTCGAGAAGATGATATGAGAAAAGATGAGAAGGAATGAATTCTTCACAAGTAATGCAGTACTCTGCACCTCGATCTAAACTTTCACCCTGATTGGTGGAATTCGACATCTTTTTAGCATCTGATTGAATATTTCTGTTATAATATGGTAACTTTCCATCTCCACTGACCACTTTGTCATTTTTTATAGTGGTTTGTATAGGTAATTGACTGATTTCAATACTATTTGTCTGGCTATTGTGAATGGATATTTTGTCAACATTATCATTTTGTTTGCTGCAGCTTGGTATAAAATCTTTCTCTAAGTTTTCACTCTGACTGCTGGAACTAGATGGACAGCTGCTTTCAGAGTTTTCCACCAAATTTTCTCCTTTGGGTAACCTACTTATTTCCAAAATTTCCATATGGCTTCCTTTTCCTTGAAATTTACTCACATCAAAAATTTCAATTTCACTGCTAATATTATGTAGCCTGTTTTTTTCCTGTTGATTAAGAGGACTAGACAAACTGCTTTTATCAGATTGTTCACCCTCGTGAACTAAGCTAGAGAGTCCACTTCTGTTTGAATGATCATTCTGGTTATTACTAAGGCATCTGCTTCTTTCTAGATTCTCACTCTGGCTGCTAATATTCAATAACCTACTTTTAAGTGAGGTATCAGTTTGATTGTTTGAATTAGACACTTTTATTATATTCAGGTTTTCATTCTGGTTGCTGGAATTTGGTATGCTGAGTCTATCAGTTTTCTCATTTGAATTGCATAAGTTAGATGACCTATTTCTATTTAAATTTTCACTTTGGATGTTGGTATTATACCCACTGTTTCCATCAGAATTTTCATTTTGTGTGATGAGTAATCTGGTCCTATCAACACTGTCACCTTGAGTATTTTGACTAGATAACCTGTTTTTCTCAGCATTTTCACCTTGGGTACTTTGGGTAGACAATCGGATTCTATCAGGATTTTCACTTTGGTTGTTCGGACTGGGCAAATTACTTCTATCAGGATTTTCACTTTGGTTAATAAGAAATCTGGGGTTTTTATCAATATTTTCATTTTGTTTATCTTCACTAGATACTCTTGTCCTCTCCAGCATTTTCCCCTGAAGTCCTCGATTAAGCAGGTTATTCACTTCTACAATTTGTATTTGACTACTCAGAGTTGGTAACAAATTCCTTTTCAAGCCTTCATTCTGAGGACCTGGGTGTGGTATTCGAGATTTCTCAAAAGCTTCACTTGGATGAGTTGTGTTTCGTAATTTTTCCTCTACAGAAATATTTTTCTGATTAAGTGCACAAACATTTTTATTCAACATTTTGTTATTAAATAATTTGTTTCCATTTTCACTTTGATTTTTAGCACAGGAAAGGCTGTTTGCCTCAACACGTTGCCTTTGAATATTGCTTGTTAGTAACTTCTTTTGGACACTTTGGTTTTGATTGGTATGAGAAAACATCACCGATTTGAGTTGAGATTCTTGAGAATAAAGACGATGTGCAAATTCTTCATGCATCTTAACACTTTTCTTTGCCTGGGAATGTTTGACTTTTGCTTTACCCTTTTTAGATGTTGAAGAGGAACAAATGGTCTGCTCTTGTACTTGTTTCTTTTGGAGATCCCCAGAAGGATTTTTCCTCATTGAAGATATACATGTTGATTTGTTGTTACTTACCACATTTGTTGCTGCAAGAAGAAAATTATTTCCCATGCGGGTATTATTTTGTTCTGTGGAGACAAAACTTCCCATCTTACTCATGTGAGACAACATGTGGCGCTCCATCTCTTCTTTGCGACCCCACACCCCACAAACTTCACACCTATACAAGTCAACCTTGGTATGACGATATTCAACATGCTTCTGTAACTCTTCTGGAGTAGCAAAAAACTGCTGACAGACATCACAATAAAAATTTCCTTGACTAAGCTGCTGAATATGAGAAGGTTTCACACATACATGACGAGACATTGCTTCGGCACTGTTGAATTCTTTCAGACAATGAGAACATTGACAAATTCGATTATTCAGAAAATCTGGAAACACTGATGTTTCCAGGGCACTTGAAAGTTTATTCATACTGTTTTTCAAAGCAGCTAATTTTTTTGGTGAAGACCAGAACATTTTGGACAAGCCAGAATCTGGTTTCACATTTGAGAACAAAAGGACTCTAAAACCTCTATGTGTCTCAGTTACATGTTCTTTCAAAGTTTTTTTATCTCTTAATGGTAGGTCACAATAAACACAGCAATATCTATTAGAATCACCCATTATTTCGTGATGCTTTTGTTCATGAAACTCTAATAATGGTCTTTTACTAAAGAACTGTCCACAGTACTGACAAGCATACACTAAACATCGATATTTATGCAATTTTTTGTGTCTAGTATAGTTCTCAATTTTTGAAAATGAGCGAAAACAAATTTTACAAACCAAACACTTGGAATTTTTGTTTGTTATTAACTGACCTGAAGTTATTCCTTTCTTTAAAAGTTGAAAGTATGCAGGTGATCTGGTCATTTTGGGTAAGGATGGGATATTTCTTTCTTCTTCTGTAGCACTAAAATTGTGAAAATTAATTTTTCTTCTAGGAAAACTACAATGTCTCTGATGATCTTCTAATAATTTCAAATTTTGAAACACCATATTACAATTTTCACAGGTCCAAGACTCTTGTGTGCCTGCAGATCCATCAGGACCAGGTTCAAGATAATATTTGTTCTCAGCCCAAGGATACAAGTTGTTGGAAGCAAGTCTTTTATAGTTTCCTGATTCCATCCAATCAGATTCTAATGGACTGCTTGGTTTCCTCTTTCTTTTACTAACTCGTTTTTGCTTCTCTTTTGTTACAAATGGAACCTGATCTTCTGATAGATGTATGGTAGACATAGGTACACCATACTGGTTTATCATGTTACTTGAAACCTCCATCCCTGGTTTCATTTGTCTGGTGTCCCACGGGTATGAATTAGCTCGACCAGATGACATAGCACTTTGAAAGTTAGATTCACTAACTCCTCCTGAAGGCAAGTTTACTGTACCACCCTGGGGTTGATTAAATGCATTTTGTTCATGTAATCGCATATGGCTAAAGAAAATATCTTTCTGTTGGAAAGTTTGGCCACAGTACTTACATATAAGAGATGCAGCAGCAGCAGCAGCTGCGTGAGCATTCACATGCTTTTTAAAGCTACTACGACATCGATAAGTTTTGTTACATACTTCACATGTAAGTACAGGTCTCTTGGCAGCAGGTTTACTTTTAGCTGAAGTCCCAGGACTTGTGATGTCCTGAGATCTAGAGGGAACCTGACTTACATCTTTACCCGTGAAGTGTGAGAAACCTTGAGCAGTTTGTTTTTCTCCTAAATATACAGAAAACTGTTGTTTGTCTGATGCTAGGTTAGGTTCTCCAGAACTGAAATTATTATCTGGTCGTGAATAAACTGGTTCAACAGAAACACTCGCCAAAGACTGCATGGATATGGCCACAATTCCTTGTGATACAGTCACTGTTTTAAGTACAGGAGGAGAAACAACTTTTCCTGGAGGAAAAGAACTAGATGAGCTTGTAGATTCTTGAATAAACTGGCCATTCTCTTGAGAAACAGTACATGTAGTTGCTGCTGTATGATCAACAGAAGGATGAGCAGTATAACTAACAGATGAACTTCCTGTAATGCTTCCTGATGCAGCTTCATGACTAGTCTCAGGAGAACACAAATGGACAACATGAGGCTTATTATAAGGTTGAGAGACAGCAACTGAGAGTGATGAATCTTTGGGAAGTGAATCTACATCGGTGAACCTGCTAGAAATTGGACCAGATTCTGTACAAGTGAGCTGTGATACCTGTATTGAACTAACAGAACCATCCTTATGGACAGAAGGCCCACAAGTGTTCATTGCATTAGCAGATTTGTCATGTTTTCCTAGTTCTGTATCAGAAGTGCTTAATGTATTAGCTAAAGACTTATTGGTCCCTTCTAGCATAGCCACTCTGGACGGGCTTTCTGAGGGCACATCAGAATGGAAATCTCTTAAATCTTCATTTTGAACCAAATCCATATCTGGAGAACTGTCAACATCTTCAGGCTCTGTCTTAATCACTGCTAACTGGCAATCCATAAAAGAATCCACAGGAGTATTAAGATCTTCTTTTTGTTGGCTTGAGGTAAAATCTTCTTCTGCTGAAGTTAGACAACCATCTGAAGAACTCGAATTTTTTTGAGGAATATTATTGGTATCTCCATGACTCGTAACAATGTGCTCTCTCAAATCTTCTTTAGATGGCATGACCACATGACATGAGCTACAAGTACGCTCAACCAGATCTGGATCACACTCATTTTTATGCACAGTTTTTATATGGGTTTGGCAGTGAGAAAAGTTGGAAAAAGTATCATCACAAAATGGACAATGATGCAAAGTCTGTATTGAAGCATCAAATCCAGCTGTTGATCCACTTCCAGATGGTTTGGGTAAAAACTTCTGGTAAAGAAGTTCTTCATCTTCATTTGCTGAAGAATCTTTTGAGCCTGGATGTGAAATCTTCTGTAGGGTAATTTGAGGCTCCTCATTTCTGCTGCATTTTTTCTCCTGGTGCATAATCACCGTCAATTGTGACGGGATAGGAGGAAGCATAAAGTTTTTAGATAATTCATGTTTTATATTAGTGTCTGGAGTTTTAGGACCTGAATTTTCTTGAAACGATAAAGTTTTGAACTGGCAAGTTTTCAGGTGCCTCTGAAGTGAAGAGTTGGATGAAAGGACTCGACTACAGAAATTACACTGAAATTGCTGCAACATCTCTCTCCCAGATGACATCATAAATTCTATATTCCAGCAATCTGTCAATATAATTCCATTAATCAAAATAAGATACGCACAAACACATATATAATGCAATATTATTATAATTTTTATGTACAACTGAAAAAAAGAGATGGATAAATAAAGATTATTTTTTGTTGTTTCCAAACTAAACTATAATACCATATAAGCACCTCAAAAAATTTCACTTGATATTACTATTTACTAATGTTTTCTTTTAATAAAGTTAAATTAGACAACTCTATATGAATGAAGTATGAAATATACAATCAAACTACTATGCATCTTTTATATTTAACCCCAACCAGATCTTTATACAAAACAGACTTACACACACCTATTATGTTATTTATGTCCTCTCACAGAAAACATCATTCACAGCAAAGGTACCAAACTGATGAAACAATGCATTCTAATCTTCATAAGTTAAAACATAAGAAAAGTATACTTAATTAGTTACACTCATTACCAAGTTAGTTTTTAGTTTTGCTTTACGCAGAAACCTTGCTCTAATTGGAAGTTAATGTTAGTGAGACTGAAGCTTAAGTGATTCTTGACAAATTTCTAATATGTGAGAAAACGTGTATTTTTGTAATTAACTGAATTCATTAAACATACACGATAACTTGCAAAGAAGTTTAGTTTTAGGCTTAAAAGTTACCATTTTTAATGTACGTAATATCTGTATCTACTAGACCCATTAATGTAAACTTGCACTTAAACTTAGCGAGATATAACTTAATGCAATTAACTACTTAGCTTAACTCTTTTCATTACCATGGAAACACATTTCCTCCTCCTAAATTACTGCCTTGGACACACGAACATTAAGATATTAAGTAACTGCAGGTTTGTACGCAGAATGTTTGAAAGGGGATCTAATTTGTGAGATCAAAGGTCAACACACATTATTAAAAGCACAATCAGCATGCAAAGCATGCTAATGCTACAGGGGGTCTGGGGGCATGCAACTATTTCAAGCCAGAAAATGCTAATGCTTCATCAGAAGAATGTAAACTATGTAGAAAATGTTAAGTACCATAAGTTACTGCATTATAACTATATAAGCATAATTTGTTTACATCACAAAAATTGGGGGGTTCAGCCAAACCCCCCTACATATGTGGATGAACTGTTCTGAAAAAGAAGTATTCCATAAAATATAATTTTATAATTAACATTAAAAAATTATAAATGTTGTATATTAATTTGCAAGTTTTGGAAATAAAAAGTGCAATAATAATCAACTGATACTTGCAATCTGAGAAAACAGTCATCTGGAAAATATCCCAAAAAAACAAATAAGTAATTAATTATACAACAACACGTGTTTGTGTGCATATCTAAAAGATAAATCTGACACATGTAGTTTGTTTTTCTATAAACATGGCAGTGAAAGATTCAGCATTGTTTTCCAAATATTTGAAATTAATAATATGCCTTCTATATATATAGACAGCTATATTCCAATGTGCTTTAATATATTTTATTATTTGCATGTGATATTTGTTTTCAACAGTTAATAAAAAAAACAGCTCTAATACATGATTAACTACAAATGATTAAAAAAAAGGCATTTGAGTTGTATTCTTGGATATGTATACTTATTTAAGGAATTTTTACTTTAAGAGCTCTTCATCTGGACTCTTATATCATGAACTTTAACTGTAGAACTGATATAATGAACAACAGAACCACTGCCTTACCTTACTGAATTAAACTTTAAGTAGATTATCACCTACTCCAGGGTAATCCTGATAAATAAAGTTCAGTACTAAAAAAGATGAAAATCAGGGAGAAAAAAAGGTGACAAGACAGAGGTGAATTGGCATCTAAAGATACCAAACATGTGCCATAACACTAACAATGCAAACTAAAAGCAAACAAGCTCATCAAAGACCAGTGGTCAATGTGGGAAACTTAAAGATCTAAAGTTTCAAGATTTTTAGAGAAAAAAAAACATGTACAGTAATGTATATAGAAAAGGCATTTATCACCCTCAAATGATGATTCTCTTACCATTCTGCTAACATATCCATGAATTTGAGGTGTGCAGGGCCTCTTAACTGTATAAATTTAAGACAGTAGGCCTATACATTAATTAATTATACAGACACAGGAAAAAAATAAGCTTAGTTTCTTAAACACTTGAAATGTATGATAGGTAGCAAGATGTTTAGGGAAACTAAATAAAATACATTAATATTAAGCAACCTAAACAGATCAGAACCTTAACCTCTTTATACCTAATAATAAGCATAGCTAATTGATGTTCAAACAACATTAATTATAATGATTAGAATGCACTGGTTCATCAATTGGGTATCCTTGCTGCTGACTACATTTTTAGTCATATACTCAATAATACCTCTTGAGGTTCAGCCAACCCAGGAGGCTTAGGTTAGTCATTAATCCATATACTAAAATAACAATGCAGAATAATCATTATAATAAAATAATAGACACACAATTCAATCAGAAATAATAAAATATAAAATTAGATATATTAAGTATTCCAACACTGTGTGTGTGCAATGTGGTAAAGAAATCAGGAAATTGGAAATAAACAAATTAATAAGATAACTAAAGAAACAAGAGACCAGAAAAATACATAAACCACAACAAGTTAAATAACAGTTTTGAAAATAAGTCTATGAGATTGAAAGATAACTTTAGTTGTTGTTATTATTCTAATATTGGAGTATTATGAACAAAATGAACGAGTTCAAAACTCAAAGTAAAATGGAAGACTATGATTTACTTGGAATTTCTGAAACTTGGTTAGATATAGAGAATACTGGTAATATAATCATTTTCAAACTTAATTCACTTACTACAAACATAAAGGAGAAGATCAAGGATAAATTCCACAAGTTTAAATTGACAGACAGGATGGAAAATTTACAGTACTATAAGAAAGTTAAGGACTTGATTAAAAAAAATCTAGGAAATAAAAGGGTTTATATGAAATAGCTGGCTGATAATATTAAAACTAACAGCAAGGGTTTTTTTAAGTATATTAAATGCAAGAAAAATGTTAATATGGGAAACGGACCCCTTAAAAAATGTTGAGTATTATAAGGTGTCTGAGCTTTCAACTGGTTTCTTCTTTTCCATTTTTACAAGAGAGGTTGTTGGCAATATTCCTGACCCTTATGTTTGTGGGAAATATTGAGATTGACATGAATCATCTATATACTAATTCCTGGTGTAAAGACAAATATTCTGAGATTAAAAACAAAGTACCAGGACCAGAAAGCATTTTTTCTAGAATTTTAAGGAAATTCAAAGATTAGATATGCAAGTCTCTTTTTTTTTTTATTAGGTCAGTAGATAGTGGGCAAGTGCTTAAGGACTGAAGAACTGCTAATGCTGCTCGTATTTTCAGAAGAGGATAGTAAGAGTTGGAAAATACAGATCAGTTAATATAAAAGAATAGTGGATTCACTAAAGGAAAACCTTTCCTAACTAATCTGTTAACTTTAATCATGGATGTTATATGTTACTGGAGGATGGAAAGGGTGTAGACTCAATCAGTATTTAGCTTTTCAAAAAACTTTTTAATAAGGTTACAGAGGAATATCAGCTATGAAAATCACATTGATGAGGGCTGAGGAAAGCCTAGGAAATTTTATTGCAAGATGATTGAATGAGAGAAAGAAAGAAGCTCTTATTAACAGAGTCCAGCCTGTAACTAGTTGAATAACTTGGGGTCAGTACTTTGGACTTTGCTTTTTCTTACTTACATGAATGATATTGATAGGCATAATTAGTAAAACTTTTATGGATGACATTTCAACTTTTGGGTATTTCTAGTTGTATTATTATTAAGGATGTTGAATGCTACACAATGACTTGATAAGATAAGAAGACACTCTGATGTTCTGTCGAAACATCAGCATCATTTCATTATGCTTACAAATCGTTGTTTGCCAAATTAGATTATTATTAGTCAATACTATTACTAGTTATTAATTGTGTTAAGTGTCAGCGATAGTGATACTACAAATTCATTAGTAGAGAAATATTAATTACTTAGTATAATATAGTCTACACTCTCTCTCACTGAACTTTTTCCTAATCCTAACTGATTAATCTTACAACTTACTAGTTTCTTTCATACTTATTTACATTTACTATTTTAATATTTAGTTTTACTTTTACTAATTTAGCGTTCCGTTGTATGTTAAATATTAATAGTAATAAATCATTGAGCTTAACACCAAGAAAACTTCCAAATTCAAGTAATGTCAATCAACTACTTTTCAAATACGTCATTTTATAAGTTTTCATTCTATACTTACTGTACGACTTATAGTAATATAATACGATAAGTTCAATTTTCAAACAGCCATTGTGAAAAATTGTTCTTCCCATATACCTCTGCTGCTGCCCTCTGCTGGAAAGCAATTTAAAATTTACCCCAAAGTATCTTGGGCAAAATGAAATTTTACTAGAAATTATAAGTAAAAAAGTTTGGCATGGAATTATTTATGGAACAAAATAGTGGCAAAATACAATGCAATACTAAATGCGCTATAAATTGTATATTGGTATAGCTTGCTTTTTGTTTCTTTGAATGGTAGATCTCAGATAACTTACAATAATATTTCTAGAAATTCATTTCTTTTTAGTTGACAAGTATTAAAATAATAGAATTCTCTTGGTTCAGATGTGTTTTTCTTTGTGGTATCAGAAATATTTAGTTGGTGGTAGTGTCCATTCAACTGTATAACCTGAGATAATTCTGAATTCCTGAAAACTAAGTGGTGTGTCATGCTCTTCTATCACATAATTGCAGAAAATATTCATTTTGGGCGTTTTCTTTTATCCTTTCTTTTAGGCAGCGCTAGATATTGCCTACATTTAACGTATCTCAATTCAAACACCACACTAGTTCTTTACTGGTAGTATGGGTGGAATGTTTATAGCTGCGGTTGGTGCAATTACCGAATCGGTTCGACAGTTTTAACCAAGAGCCGACTGGCCGGTCTATTAAAAAAGAAAAATGTGTATAATAATAAATACTACGTATAAAATGAAGCCTTCTTGTTTTCAAACATTTTGCACCCGTCCACTTTTTAAGCTCTACATACAACTGATACTCAATTTTAATTGAGTCTCGAATCTCCCGCCCAAGAGACTAGGATCGGTCCAATAGCCAAATCACTGGGCCGCTTCGACCTTCCAGTCCGCCCTTGGCTGGTAGTATATATATTGCCAATGACAAGGAAGCCATATTTTGGTCTTCAAGAAGATTTATAAATTGTACATAGAAATACAAAACTTTTAACATGTTCTTAATTTCCTTTCTCTATTGCATACTGTAAATTCTCATTTATGGAAAGGTCGTGGGAGTTAGAAGTGCAGTTGTACCCTTTAACCCGAAATGCGAGAGTGCTGTTCTCCAATTGGTAGTGTTAAATAAAGAATATAATCATTTACTTGATTTACTTAACAGGGTTACATTTTTGTTCAATAGTTTTCAGTACTCTCTCTGTAAAATAATTCCAGCATCAATGATGTTTGTGTGGGAGAGAGAGAGACGAGTTACTGATATACCTTTCAATCGTATCATTTATGATTTTAATTGAATAACTATTCAACTGTAACAATCTTTTTATGAACTGATTATTAAAAACTTTCGAAAAGTTGAAATAATGTGTATGCTCTGTGCACTAATACAGGGTTTGGTAAATTATAGTAAAATCATGTTGAATATGCAAATCAGCAAGTCACTTCACAAACACAGCCAATATTAAATCACAGTGGAACGGCATGGGTCAGAAATACTTTTTGACATTGTTTGACACTTCCACACCCTTAGCTCATAAATATGAGTTGCAATTGTGGATTTAGAGTTCCCAAGACGGGAATATCTCCTGTATTTGATGATATTGTAAGACAAAATAAAATGGATCAACTTGGGGTACCTTTCAGTACTTACCGTAAAATTGGTTCACCAGAACCATCCAGAAAAGAAAAAGAAATCCCGCAACAAGTCGTACCCCAGTCATAGTAAGTAAAGTGCGATGTCTAGGTGAAAATCCCGAACACAGAGGTCAGTGGCAAAAGCCTTCAACGTGCTCCAGGCAACAGTGCACAACATATTCAAGAAGAATCTCTATCTGGAAACTTTTGTAGCTAATGGGCTATCTGTGATCTGCCCACCACGGTTATCGAAACCCGGATTCTAGTGTTGTAAGTCCGCAGACATACCGCTGTGCCACTGGGGACATCTGGAAACAGGGTATAGGTTCACCAACACAAGGCTTCCATCCATATCTAAACAGTTTGGGAAGGAAAAATATACCAATCAAGTTGCAAGGTGCAGACCTATGGATTTCTGTGTGCTTGGTCTAATGAAACAGACGCTTGGAAACCATCACCTTTATACACTCAACGGATTATCAAAAGTTCGTAGTTAAAGAGTGATGTGCTTTAAGTATGGCAGCCTTACCACTGAACTTTTTCTGAAGGAAAATAAGCTATAGACTTTTTTTCAAGATGCATGCAGTCGTCAGATGGAGCATGAACTATCGTGGTGACACAGACTGTCACGATATTTGTTGTTGTTTTTCTTGAATTTCGCGCAAACCAACTCGAGAGATATCTAAACTAGCTGTCCCTAATTTTTAAGTAATAGACTAGATAGAAGACAACTAGTCAACATCACCCACTGTCAACTCTTGGGCTACTCTTTGCCAACGAATTGTAAAATTTACCGGGACACAATAGTGTTCCTACGGCTGAAAGGACGAGCATATTCCATCCCGCGACGTACAGATTGCGAGTCAGCTTTTGAATTTCGCGCAAAGCTACATGAGGGCTATCTGCGCTAGCCGTCCCTAATTTAGCAATGAAAGACTAGAGGGAAGGCAACCAACTCTTGAGCTACTCTCTTACTAACGAAAAGTGGGATTGACCGTGACATATAACACCCCCCACGGCTGAAAGGGCGAGCATGTTTGTTGGGATGGGGATTCAAGCATTGGGGGGGGGGGGG